TTAAGATAAGTAATGTTAATGCATACATCTTAAGATCGTATCTGGTATGAAACCCGTCCACAAATTTCTCACCTATGGCTACGACATGTTCGGTCAGTAAATTTGATCATTTTACACTTGCCATATTCTTGACAAACAAATAGTCACCACTTTAGAACGGCAAATCCTAAACTTGTTGAGAGCGGAGTAGATGTCACACCGGCTCTCAATTTGTTCTGCAAAGTTTGACGATTGTATCACCATCCTCGTGTATGACTATATTACGAGCAGAAGTCATTTTCACGTAAACGCGCATTTTTGTCATTAGAGACACTCAAATGTGTCGATAAGAAGAAGAATAGTAAAGCCAAGTATCGCGTGGTGTCTATGATAATAACGAATCATTAATATAGCCACGAGATACTACATATTATCATTATTACGTATGGCCCTGTTGTCGTCGTGTGACATCATTATCGCTGCTTCTGCGGATTTATAAAAATGCATCAATTCTCTTCATAGTCTTCATCGCCACAATTTCTGTCTTTTTCCGTCTTCTGAATTCCCTTTTTGTGTTCCGTACTTTTAATATACGGATGTATTACTCTTCTCGTCAGTTGATTATTATCTAAAGCTACGCGTGACGATTTGTAGATTTTAAATATCGATAGGAGCGTTTACTTTATAAGGACAGTATTGTGGCCTTAGAGTACTTTTACATTGTAAAGCTAGTATAAATAGCATTTTATCACTAAACGTAGACGCTTTCTTATACATGTGCTTTTAATTATAGACTCAAAGTATACGCAAGCATTGCCACAACTTGACCCCCCACCCCGGCAACACCCGGTCTCACGATAATAAGAAATAATGGAGCCGCTAGGCCACTGGGCGATGCCAAAATTTTCTGGCAATGTTTCGGCTTGCGAGGGTGTAAAGTAAAAAATGAGTGTATTTAGTAACCAAATATTTATCAATGTCAGCCAATTGCTACACGTGTTTACTGAACAAAGAAAGTGGAAGTGAAAACAAACAAAAGGGAGTGCATCTAAAAACTCTCTAAAAGCAAGGAAATATTAAGTCCCAGATCCAAAATTTCGTACTGATAAAGTTTGCGAAAAAGTTATGCTGAAATATGCCGGAAAAAGGATAGATATCGTAGGGTTGTACAAAGGTGATTTAAATTTTGGAAATGATAGCACAAAAGGTGTACTGGTGCGAATTATTATAAGACTGACCTGCCTTAAGGGGAAAATTGGTGTAGCCATCTGAATCACATGTTTGATAAAAGGACAAACGTGCGGACCTAGAAGCACCCGCGAGCGTCTTGCAGATGGCATCTAATATGTTAAGAAGTCTACAAAAATAGAAATGTTTCGACGCGATTCGTCTGAAGGTGCTATTAGCTCAAATATGGCTAAATACATGCCAGAATTGGCTCGTGTGCCAGTTATGACTACTGTTGCAAGAAATAAAGACTGGTATGGAAATGCCTTTGGAACCTACCTTAGCAGGGAAAAAAGGATAATAAAATGATCAAAGCAAGATCAGGGATGTTTATTGCTTAGTAATAATATCTAGAGAGTCCGATTAATGCTAGTTGTGAGTGTTTTATGGTCGTGATGCGGATCATTACCAGCGAAACTGCTTCAAACGCGATGACAAGGAGCAATCAAGTTGAAGAAGGCGTGTTCAAGCAATAGATACGATATCACTTCAGAACAGCTTTGCTGCAGCTATAAAGTATGGGTCGAATGTAATGCAGTCGAAACGTGATGTAATCATTGGTGAATTGGTATGAAAAGTGCGAGGACACAAATCCCACTTGATGAATTATTGATGCAGATACGAACACACATATTGACTCTTGTAAAGGGTGTTTCACTGCACTACCAGATCTATAAGACATTGAAAGATATTTGACAATTTTAGAAAATCCTGACGTGAGTAAAGTTAAAACGAAATTCGTTGGAACGGCGTTTATTTCTATCACAATTGATGCGCATTATTTTACTTAATTTTTTAAAAACGTACTCAATGTTCCTGAAGCTGGGTGTAACTTGTGTTCTTCTAGATTACCTCTGGTTCAAGGCGCGAATATGCCATAAACGCAAGTGAAAGGCTATTTAGTATGATTTAGGATTATCTAGCGGTTATCGCACTGAGCATGACAATCGATCGTGGCCCTTCACCTCAAACAATAGTATTATCATCAGTAAGAAGACAAAGCATGTTACACTGTGTAGAGTAGCTGGGGGAAAAAGCCGAAGTAAATATATTTAAGGTCCTTAGTTTGCTACCATGAGCTATCTCTAAGCCTTTACGTAGCGCTGTTCCATGGCAATCCTCTGAAACTACCATGAAACGCCTTGATAGTTTATCGCATAAATCATCATCCTAACAACATGAAACGTACTTGGTCAGCGGTGTAATATCAACACTCCCACTTGACGCTACTGCTTAGTGACCTTGCACGGGATACCGTTCGCATCGCGCAGGAACTTGAACGTCTTGGATCCTAGAGCCTTGGTCAGTATGTCAGCCAGGTGATGTTTGGTGTACACATGCGCCAGCGCAACCGCTTCGGCTTCGATCGTCTCTTTGATAAAGTGATGAAGGATGTCCACATGCTTGGTCCGAGCATGATACCAGCATTCTGAGCGAAACAAATTGCGCCTTGATCATCCTCCCAGATGCTAGTAGCGTTCCTTTGTACCATTCTCATGTCCGTCAGCATTGCACGCGTCCACAGCACTTCCTGAACACATAGGTTGCAAGCCGTATAATCAGTTTCAGATGAGCGAGGAAAAAGCGTTCGTTAAAACTTAGACTTGAAAAACACGGGAGCGTTTCCAATTATGATCATTATACTCGAGACAGAACGCATGTTTTCGAGATTAGATCCCCAGTCCGCATCCGAGTAGGCTTTAGCTGCGACGCGGTTAGTACCACCTTTGTAGATGATACAGTGCTGGCGGGTCGTCTAGAAGTAGCGGAGAACACGTAAAGCAGCGCTCCTATGCTGCTGCCCGGGATTATCCAGAAGAACGAGAAAGTTGCGCTACCACAAATTGAATGTCCGGGTGAGTAGACGTCGTGATTTAAAGCAGGCATCCAATTAGGGAACGGTACGGTCTTGATTGAATCTTGCTTCGTTCTGCATCCGATGCTGGCGATTGCGACATTGACAACTTTTCACCGGGTGAACATGGGTTGTTCACCGTCTTGGAGTTTTCTTGTTGGAGCGGGCTTAGAGATGTGAAGTAAATTGAGAACTAAATGTATTTGAGCTTACGTCTTTGGTTACCTATGATGTCCGTTACCTTCACTGTCTGTTACCTACAATGTCCGTTACCTTCAATCTCTCCTGCGTAGGTTTCCTCAAATCACCTTGTCCATCCTAATGGTTGCGTCGTTACACCTCACTTATGTCCTGTCCCATTAACAGTCGTGCCCTGTCACATCATTAGTCGCACTGTTTCAACACTCCTTCCCGTGTGGACATGCTTAACCACTAAGCATTATCAGTCCACGTATCTCGCTAAGTCGGGGTGCTGGTAGGGTCTTGGTCAGGATGTCCGCACGCATTTTCTTGGACTCACAATACTGCACGGCCAGCAAATCCTTTTTTGCAAGATCTTTCACAAACTTCTATCGCACGTCGATGTGCTTCGCTCGACCAGATGTGTCTTCGCCCTTGATTTGAGCGATGGCAGCTTGGTTATCCACGTGTAAAGTCGTACATGACTGCATCTGCACGCCGATCTCCTTGAGCAATTCCACGATGCCTATCATCTCAGCTGATGTTTGCGAAGCCGCCACATACTCGGCTTCCATCGTTGACAATGCAACATATTTCTGTTTCTTGCACATCCAGCCTACAATCATGCCGCCCACCATGAACACACCACCGCTAACCGACTTCCGGTCACTCTTGTCTGCAGCGTAGGCGGCATCGCTGAATGCTTCGACTACCACGCCGTCTTTTTTCATTAAGTTCTTGTCTCCCTTCATCATGATATTCAGTTTCTTTTTGCCCTTGAGATATTTTGCGATCTTCTTTGCTAGGCGCCAATCGCCTTCACTCGGTGCGTGCGAGCGACGAGTCACTCGGTGCACCGCAAACGCTATGGCGAGGCGTGTACATCGAGATATCCATAACAGACTACCGACTAGCGACTGGAAAGTCTGCACAGTTGGTCTTTTTGGCGATCCTTTCCCCATCAGAAGGTAGCAGCGCACCTTCTTCGTCTCCGCCGATTGGCACCCTGACCGCTGCCAACTCGACTAATCCGAACCTCTCGAGCATCTCATCAATAGCAGGTTCTTGGTTCAGTTTCCACCCATTATCGTCATCGTAACGAAACAATTTACCAAGGAATTTGGACACAACCCAAGGTTCTTAAGCTCAACCACTTACATGTCATTAAAGAAATCGTTGATCTTCTGAGAACCGGTTGCGGTCGCCAGCACATCATCCATGTAGATTCCAACGAGCGTTTTGCCGTCACTATCATCTTTAATGTATAGACAACTGTCCGTATAGCACTGACAGAAACCCAGGGACATGAGTATGTCGGGAGCATCAGATTCCACAATCTTCCAGACTGTTTAAGTCCATACAGACCCTTTTTAGCTTCAGTGCAAGATGTCCCTTATGCTGCACTCGAACTTGTCCAACAACTTGGCCTCAATATCCATACCTTTCAGAATATGGAGAAGTATCTCCAAGCCTTCTTCTTTGTCGGCTTTGACATAAGCACTCGGCACATCGCCGTGTTGCGCGAGGTACTCCCCAGATTCTTGAAACTGCAAGAATCACTTTGCCAGAAACCATTTTTATAACGGCCGAAGAAAGTGTAGGTATAATCGATACCATAAACTTGTTCATCTCCTCGCGCCACCAGCCTCGCCTTGTATCTTTCGATCGTGCCGTCAGCGTGCATCTTGAGCTTGTAAACCCACTTACTATGAAGTAACTTTTCTTCACGTGGCTTTTGTATCACTTCCCACGTATGATTCTACTCCAATGCGTCAATCTCTGTGCGCATTGCCTCCTTCCAGTGCTTGACTCGAGGGTCCTTCATCGCCTCGTGATAGTTCTTGGGGTCTTTAGTCTTGATAGCTTTCACACTAAAGATCGGCACGTGCTTTGTACCCATGTTGCGTGTCTGCATCCGAGCTTGCGTCCGCCCATCCTCTGGTAACTGCTCGACCTCACCTCCATCTCTTTCATTTGGGATAGAGCTGTTACTTATCACCAAATCTTCGTCTGCCTTCGAACCACTCTTCTTTAACTTTGCAGGCTCCTTCCGTTTCGGGGTTTCGTCACGATCCATCCCGGCGCGCCACAGCATGAAATCTTCGTGTTTAATCCGTTTTTGTAGCTGAGCGTTCTGTGCGCTAGTTAACGTTTCGACGCTACGAATATGCTGAGTAGTGATCACAATTTTCTCCTTCGGCAGATAGACTTTGAAGCCCTTAGTTTCATCATTCTTGCCAATAATCATTCCAACTTGAGATCGTGACTTCCATGCTTTCTTCCCAGGATCCCTGAACGTTGAGCAAGAGCTCCCAAATGTTACAATGTCCGCAATGTTTGGACATTTCAACATTTTGAGAGGCGATGGACGCTTAAGGTTAGCGCAACACGAGCTTCGATTCAAAACATAGGGAGCGTACTCAACGGCATCCCCCCCTAAAGAATAAAGGTAGCCCGCTCGCAAATAGCATGCATCTTGCCATGTTGAGTATCGTCCTGTGCATCCTTTCAGCCTTTCCGTTCGATGCCTGATTTGAAGCCTCACTCACTTGGCGCCTTCCACCAGCTGACTTGCAGAACAGGTCGACACTGACATACTCCTTGCCACCGTCCGTTCGCAGCACATGAACTAGACAATTTAATCTCTTCTCGAAGTAAAGCAGGAAATGTTTGAAGTTCGTTGTCGTCTCAATCTAGTTCTTGGCCATGAACGCGCGGACATATTTTGTTGAGTAGTCGACGAAGTTGATTAGGTAACGATTACCACGTCGATCTATTGGTGTCATTGGTCCCTTGATATCACTGCCGATCACACCACCAAGCTTGTCAATAGGCGCGTTGTTGCCTGTATCCTTGTTGGACTGGTTATTTTTGCTCTGCTTACCTTCTGCGCAAGTAAGACAATTTGGCCTGGCTCGGTCCGTTAGGTGAATGCCCAATCCTTAGAGTCGGCCATGCGCTCGACAGTATCGTACCCAAGATGACCAAGCCTCTGATACAACTCCACAAGAGCTGTACTCAATACAGCTTCATCAATTCCATCGTAACCTTGGTAGCAAGGCTAAGTTGACAACTTGAACTTGCGCTTCCTTCATTTTCTCACCCATTACGTCGACTGTTAACACGTCATTGCGGCGAAACACTTCGAAAATGTTTAGGCCATCCTCTTGACGTACCACAAAGCTCTGATTGCCGTCTCGCTCGAGAAACACTCCACGCTCTTCCAATATGCCATAGCTAATGATGTTATCAGCGAGGTTCTCAGCATAATAAACCTCGCTTAGGTCAACTATAACCTCCTTGCCATTGACAGCCTTCCTCAGCTCAGCTGTTCCCTTCGTTGTCACTCGAACCATTGTATTGTTCGCCGCGCGGCACGATTGATCGCAATCAATTGCATTCTTGAGCATTTTCACATCTTTTACAAGGTGCACGCTCGACCCGCTGTACAATATCCACGAGTCAGAGTCAGCTTTTGTTCCAGTCCCAATAGCTAACGAGACTCGATTTGAAGTCGCCTTTCACCACTTCGTTGCTTGGGGCACTTGGATTTGATGTGACCAGTCTCACCGCATCCGTAACATGTACGTGTGTCGGTACTTGCAACCCTTGCAACATTTCTTCCTCCACGCCCGACTTGATCTCTTCGAGCACTGTTAGGGTATTGAGATGCTTGCTCGCGAATTGTTCGTCCCGCTCGGCTGCTTCCTCCTTCGACCCTCGTCTTTCCCATGCTGATGTCAACGTCTATCGCAAATGCAACAAGCTCAGCAGCTTGCACTAAAACGTCCGTTCTCTGCGCATTCAGCCTTGTCAGCGTTGCAGTCTTAATGTGTCCAGGCGCTGACTTGCATAGACATTCTAAAACACTTTGCTCCGAGTTGCCAGATCGCTCCGCCACGTACACCAAGTACTGGTAATGCTCAGGCCATGTCTAACTGTGCTCTTTTTCTCTCGTCATGAGATCAATTCCTTTCGTAGATGGTATCGTAGTTATGTACAGCATCAGCATCCTGTTCATGACGTGCTCTAGTGTGTTCGACACAGCACACCATACCGGTAGCATCTTCTCGTAGTAGCTGAGAGCTGAAACTTATGGCTTACCGCTCAATGCAAGAATCTTGAACTCTTCTGGCCAATCACCCCCGCTAATCATCTGTGCTGCGCCAAGCCGTTGCAGGAAGCGTATTCCCCATGCTTTAAAGTCGGCGCCCACACCTGGATATGTCTCTTTACCCGTGAACTTAGCAAATATATGCCAGTCCAGGTCTCTGGGTTTCGGTATCTTCAGCCCATAATCATTTGGTGTCACAAAAGGGTGCGACGGTTCAGATGACTGATACCGCTCGTCTTGCTGAGGCGGCTGATTCGGCGGCACGCGCATTCGTTGCGGCGGCTGGTGAGGCGGCGGCATGCGTGCTTGACGCATCGGCTCATCGAGTGAGCCCATCCTCATTCGACGGTCACACGCTTGGATAAAGTCGGTAAACGCGCTTGATCCATTGAATGGTTGCTCGTAGGGTGTTGTAGGCGCAGCTTGAGCGTTTCAACTAATCTGATCTTGCGTCTTCAGCTGGTTATTCATGAGCTAGGCTTGCTGCTGCGCCATCCCTGCGAGGAGCCTCTTAAGTCTATCCATTCGCTCAGAGCTCGCGTCAGAGACACAACTCGCGCTATCTCGGGCCTCGGGAGTGCCCGGGGCTGTTGGCGTCTCTTCGCGCAGCACGAAAGAATCAGTGACAACGTTGAGAGTGGTTGACCCCTTATCAGCGGCAAAGATTGCCTGGGCGTGCTGACGAAAAAGGGGGTTGTTCGCGCTTAGGCTCATAACCTGTTGGAGCGGGCTTAGAGATGTGAAGTAAATTGAGAACTAAATGTATTTGAGCTTACGTCTTTGGTTACATATGATGTCCGTTACCTTCACTGTCTGTTACCTACAATGTCCGTTACCTTCAATCTCTCCTGCGTAGGTTTCCTCAAATCACCTTGCCCATCCTAATGGTTGCGTCGTTACACCTCACTTATGTCCTGTCCCATTAACAGTCGTGCCCTGTCACATCATTAAAGTCGCACTGTTTCAACATTTCTTGCATACACCGGTTCGTCACATCATCGATGCATTTCATTTGCTTGATCATAAGTGTTCTAGCAGTCATGTCATGGTCGATCTCCATTCCCAGGATAAACTTCGCCAGTCCAAGCTCCTTCATCTTAGAGGATTTTTTTAATGCGGCCTTCACGTCACTGACATCATCACTCGTCTTCGCCACTATGATCATATCATCGACGTAAATGCAGACGTACATTAAACTGTTCTTGGAGCGCTTGACATAAACGCATTGGTCCGCACCACAGCTATTGAAACATAGTCGATAAATACACGATAAATGGTCTTGTTAAGCCGGCACAAATAGTCCTGGGGGTTTTCAACACCTATATTTTTTTTTTCATGTAGACACGGTCCTCCAACTCACTGTTGAGACACGCTGTATCAGCGTCCAACTATTCCATCTGGTACGTGTAAGCAGCGCAGACGGAGAGCACACCTCGAATCAAGTTCATGTTCACGACTAGAGAGAACGTTTCAAGAAGTCCACCCCGTAATTCTTCTTGAAACCTTTCGCCACCAGTCGCGCTTTGAAGCGCATCACGCGACCGTTCTGGCCACGCTTCTTGGCGAAACCCACCTGCACCCAATGGTGCGCGACTGTCGATAATTAAGGATAATGGCATGGTCATCGCTTACTGCACGGGCTGGCTACTTGGTTGCGAAGTTCACTTGATTACGAATCAGCACTGCATCGGCAATAACCAAGACGCGCTCAATACAAAGGTCTGGTTTCTCGCTCAGTCAACGAGCTGCAAAGGCGGTGAGACTTGTGACTCCCAGGGTGGATGTCCAGGACCGATTGGCGTGACGTCGCCAACGCTAGTGGCCGTCTCGGAAGAGTTGGACTACGCGGTGGTCCGACTTTGTAACATGGTGAATTGTTACCTAACAATTTATAAGAAATTGTTAATAGAATATAACTATCAGAGTTGTATTCTCAGAATATTGTCATAAGGACAAATATTCTGTAGCACTTACGAGTAGTTCCTAATTGGTTGATATAGGCCATTATATCAACCAACGAAGACGCGCCACGACAGACGCACGCAATGAGTGGTGAGCAGATAGTTGATTTACACATTTGTATTTAGACATAGTTAGATGAAGATAAATAGTGATTTATTGCAGACATTAACTATTATAAATACAGTTCTACTTTTTACTTTAACCAAGTACTCGCTTCTTCTTACCGTCTTCCTCTGCACGTACGAGTGTACGTGAAGTTACGAGGCACCGCCTTATTCTGTCATCAGAATAAGTAGCTTGTACTGTCACCAGTACAAGCTTCAGGGTGCCCCGTTACACCTGGTAGAACTTCGTAGTCCGTCCAAGGACCGCGTTCACATCCAACATGAATATGTCGGATGATGAAGATGACCAAAAGCATTCACGCTACGCGTGACGGCTACTCCCATTTGAGAGATGTCGAATGGGATGCGGTTATACGAATGGGTTCGACCATGGGCATCCATGCTGTTAGCGTCATGCTAGAGGCTCTCAATAGAGATGCCCAACATGCTACTATCGCCAAGTTCATTCAAAATGAACTTGACGCAGAACGCGAGAAAGTAGCCTTGCTTCACCAACAAGGTTCTCAACAAGCAGAGTTGTTGAGAGAACAGGGTGCTCAACAGTTTGAACTGTTGAGACAGCAGCAGGCTGCTGCTGGTGGGTCGATGCACTCGCGTCGACCCGAGACCTTGAAGATTGACATCTCCAAGTATAAGGGGGTCGAAGAAGACTCCCTCTTGAGATGGTTCGTCGAATTGGATGACGCCATAAGGGCGCGTCGCATCGACGACGGGGATATGCAAGTTGCATGTGCCCAGTCAAATCTGGCAGGACGTGCAAGACTTGGGCACTGGGGCTCAAGTCGCACGACCCATATGCGTTTGGGTCGTTGGAAGTCTTCAAGTCGCGGCTCAGACAAACTTTTGAACCGCCTAGAGCTGAGTTCAGGGCTCGAACCGAACTCTTGAAGCTCAAGCAGGGTAAGCGTGATGTGCACGCTTACGCTCAACATATACGACATCTCACGAGTTGTATAAGTTCCAATCCGGTGGATGAACACACGTTGGTTTCGGTGTTCATGCAGGGTCTTGCGGATTGTCCCGTCAAGACTCACCTGTTCCGGCTTGAACTAGATTCACTAGAACAAGCCATTTCCATTGCGGAGCAGGAAGACTTCAGTCTGAGACAGGCTCGCGCCAGCTCGACATCATATCGTCAACCGAGACGATATGACAACGGAGGTCCAGAGCCGATGGAACTCTATTATGTAGAGAGCGAGAAGGCTCGCTCTACAGGCTACAAGAAGTTGCAGAGATGCAACAGATGTCAAAAGACAGGACACTACGCTTACGAGTGTAGTGCCCCTCGTCCAGTGTCTCGCGACACTGGGCGTAGTGACCGTCCACCCATGAGAAAGGGGCAGGGACGAAGATCCGCAGTTGGTGCAAAGACGCAACAACGGGATGGACCGTCAAAAAACGGACAGGATCAGTAGGTGCGGAGCACCCTTCTGATCCAGCAACGTCAAGAGAATTTGTAGGCCTCTTGATGAAGGTTGCTCCCAACACACAAACGTTGTGCGCTGCTGCTCTAGGTAATGAGGTCTCACTCATTACCTTGAAACTCGAAGTGACAAATAAGTTGTCCCTTCGAGCTCTAGTCAATTGTGGGGCGTCCAACAATTTTGTGCGACGCCAATCGCTAGAAGATGGTCACTTTAAATTCGGTGAATGTGACACACCTCCTACGAGGATGACGGTACGTCTTACGACAGGCGCATCCGTAACCAGTCATGAAGCGTATAGTGAAGATCCACTATACGCTAGAAGATACCCAATATGACGATGACTTTATCGTATTGGATTTGGATGACAAATTTGATGTCATCCTTGGAATCACCGTGGCTCAGAAGGTACGAACAACGGGTAAACTGGCAACATCGGACAGTAACGATGCCTGCCGCTTGTTCATCAGATGGCCATCTGATGAACGTTTTGGAGCGTCCACAAGCGTGTGGATGTACTACGAGTGAGTGCGATGGCCTCAACTTGTGGTACGGTCGTTAGTACGACTGCACAAAACCTAGTGTACCAAACGGGTTCACACTTCGGAGCAAAGTTCCCGGCGGCCTGGCTGTGAGGAAACACAGGCTGCGCACGAAGGTCCACCACTCGAATAAAAGTCGGGTGGACGTGGGGACCAAAAAGATGTATCCCTAGCGGGGAACATCTAGAA